CCCTCACCAGCAATATACGAGGGTTCTAATTTTTCTACAATCCCCCCCACCCCCAGATGGAATTTGGCAAGGTTATGCAGATTGGCTTTGAACTTCCGGGCTCCAGTGATTGTTCTACCATCTGCGTAGCTGGGATTATAGGCATGTGTCTTGTGCATGCTAGGCAAGTGCTCTACCCCTGAGGTGCTCCCCTCGCTCCGCTGCCATGTCTGTCCTCAACAAAAGCTGCTTCTCATGCTTTGAGGTGCATGTCTAGGGCAGCTATCCAGGGGCCCCTCGTGTCCAGGGATTTGGCTCAGCAGCAGAGAAGCGGGTGCTGGTAGGGCTGGGGAAGGCGTCAAGCAAGCCGATCCCCTCAGACTCCACGTGTCTCCTCTGCAGCCTGATGTTTCCAGCCTTCTCCCCAGGCACCTGCCCCTCTGAGTGTCTTTCTTAGGTCTTTCCTATTCTTTTGGAAAATATCTGAGAGACCTTATACTTGGCTGAAAACACAGGGTCCTTTGTGACCAATACTCACGTGAACAAGATCAGAACTGTTTTTCCTTTCGGCCTTTATTTGGAAGCAAAATCAGGTGGGAAAGAAGTGAGTTGAACAGGAACAGGGGACAAAGCACCACTTGTTGAGGGGGGCCTCTCTTGGTCGGTTCAGCTACTGTAACAGAATACCCTAGACTGGGTAATTTATTAAGAACAGAGGTTTATTTTCTTACAGTTCTGGAGGCTGTGAAGTCCCAGAACATGGTGCCCACATCTGGGAAGGGCCTTGTGCTGTATCATAATGTGGTGAACGGTCACAGACAGTGGGGAGCAAGAGGCCAGAAGCCAGGCAAGCTGACCTTTCCTCAGGAACCCATTCTTGAGATAATGGACTCACGGCCATGATGGCAGCATTAATCCACCAGTAAAGGTGACACCCGTTGGTCACCTCCTGAAGGTCCCAATAGCATTGCAATGGTAACTCAGTTTCAAAGGAGTGTGGGGGACATTCACACTGCAACAGGGCCTGAGTGGCTGCAGGAAGCCCTACGGGAAAGAGGGAAGATCCTCTGGGTGAGGAAGGGTGTCATGTATTGGGGGTCATCCCCTCAGACACAGGCCTGTCAGGACACTGGGGTCCCTTGCGCACTGGTATTCCTTGGATGGGAATTCAAGGAATACCAGTGCGCAAGAATTCAGATGTATTCTCAGAGATCTGTATTTACATTCTCTACAAGATTTTTAATTTGGGGGTTTTCAAGTCTATGACAATCTGAAGAATCAACAATAATCTCATCTAGCCAGGAGCCGTGGAACACGCCTGCAATCCCAGAGACTTGAGAGGCCAAGGCAGGAGGATCACAAGTTCAAGGCTTTTTTGGTACCAGGGACTGAACCCAGAGTTCCTTGACCAATAAGTCACATCCCCAGCCCTTTGTATTTTTTATTTTGAGACAGGGTTTCACTAAGTTTCTGAGGATGGCCTTGAACTTGTGATTCTCCTGCCTCAGCCTCCCCAGTTGCTGGGCTTACAGGGGTACCTCCCATACATTTTTTAAATTATTAAGTATTTGATGATAGAAAAAAAGCCCATACATTTGTTATAAGCTGTAGCAAAACAATCATCCTAAGCCCACTACTAATTTATAAATCATGAACATCATCCACATCACTAAAATTAACTGCCCTTCCTTCTGGTTCTCTGCCTCCTCAGAACAAGTGGGGTCTGCCTCCTTCCCAGGCCCAGTAGACAGTCCCCAGGGGTGCTGCCTGAGCGTCTACCATGAGCTTAGTGTCGGCCAACCCCAGCAGGGCTCGGGAACTTGATCATGAGAGTCAGGTGGATGGGAGACAAAGCAAGATGGTGGGATTTGAATCCCACCTCTGCCTTACTAGTTCTGTGACTCAAAGCAAGTTACTCAACCCAGCTGCGCCTGTTTCCTGTCTGTAAAATGGAAATAATCATAGCACCAACTTCCTAGGATTTTTTGTGGATGGTTCAGCAAAGCATAGAACAAAACTTGGCAGGTAAGAAGCACCCAGAAAGTGCCAGCAATTGTCACTACTGACGCTGCAGCATGAGAACTGCAGGACTGCTGACCAGGAGGCAGGAGACCAGAGGAGGGGCACTGACCAGGTGCCGGCGCTGGACACACCTTGGGAGACTTTCACCTCACCATGGGGTGCAGAGGCACGGAGGTGGTTCTGTCCTTTGGCCCCAGCCCTTGATTCCCTGGGACTGTCCCCTCTGGAACCCAGGTACCAAGGCAGGCAGGGGCATCCTTGAGTTGCTGGGAACCGTCCCAGGAAACGCAGCACCTCCAGGAGGGGACTGAGGACCTGACACCTTAACCTGGGTTTCAGCCCTGGCAGCAGGCCCAGCTGGGGAGGGCACAATGAAACCATTTGAATGTCTTTTAAATACATAATCTGGGCTTAGATGCCCATTCACTTGACCTTTGTCCGTTCTTGCCTGGAACCACTTTAGTGCAAGTTAATAAATACTGGAGGAAATGTTTAAGGCCAGGCGGAGTTTGGGTTGAGTCTTGGTAGGAAACAGTATTCCTTGAGGAGAGAGCTTTGTGCCCAGGGGACTCGAGGACTATTGGCCTGAGATATAAGCTGTACTAAAACCTGCTAGAAACCACATCCAAGGGCTGGGGTGGAGCTCAGTGGTAGAGTGGCTTGTCTAGCACGTTCGAGGGCCTGGGTTCTATCCCTGGTACAAAATAAAAACCCTCAAAGGCACATTCTCAGGCCCCAACACAGCATTCCATGATTGGCAATCTTGGGGGACAGACCCAAAGATCTGCTTCCCAAGCCCCCACAGGATTCTGATATGCTCTGCAGGTAACACTCAGGTAGGGAAGGGAGCTGTGAGGCCCACACGCTGGCTCTGGCCCCAACTCCATCTGCCACCATCTGGAGGGGGCTTTTCCTTTGCCTCAGTCTCCTCATCTGGAGATTGAACATGACAGGATCTCCCTTCTCTCTCTTAGCTCAGGTTTGATGTAAAAATCAGGAGATGATAAAGAAGCCAATTTTTCAGAAGTGTTAAATAAATGCCCCACAAAGAATATGAATGCCACCTCTCAAGTGCCCCCACCTCCATATGGATCTAAGAATGTCAAGAGAAGGGGCCTTTATTTTTCTTCTTTTTTTGTGGTAGGGGGATTTAGCCCAGGGGCATCTATCACCAAGTTACATCCCAGACCTTTGTATTTTTTAATGAAACAGGGACTTGACAAGTTGCCCACGCTGGCCTCAAACCTGTGATCCTCCTGCCTCAGCTTTCTAAGTAGCTGGGATCACAGGTGTGCACCAGCCTACCTGGCAGGAGGCAGGGGTCTTCACGATTTTTCTTCATTTTGTGTGAAACTGAGTAAAGGTCCCATTTCCCAGAAAAAAGACCATTCAGATGCAGAAGTCAAGACAGGCTGGTGGCCTGTGACCCTACTTAAAATGGCAAGGACTTCCCAGTAGCCCTGGGATAAGGAAGGGCAATGGCACCAGGAGCCAGAGAACTAAAAATAGCCAAGTGCTTGCCTGGCCTGCACCTAGTATGTTCCCCCAGGGGTTTTCCACTTTGCTAATGAATAATGGACTCTGACCATAGGAGCATATGCTCAGGAGGGAAGGGCCGGCTTCTCGGTGCTGGGTATCTCAGGCCACAGGGGGAGGTAAGGCAGGCAACCATCAGGACCTGAGCATTGATCCCGACGGCTGCTTCTCTGTCGTCCTGTCAATCCTGACAGGACCTCCACCAGCTACTTCTTAACCCACCCATCAAAGACTGAGGCAGGAAGTGAAGTGACTTTGCCCAAGCGGGGAGAGGTGGACTGAGATTCAAACCCAAGTATGTGTGATGCCAGCACTTGGCAGGGACATCTCACAGGGGGACACAGCATAATCACAGGATCAGGGACACAAGAGTCACAGGACAGTGGCATTTGAGATGCATCATAGAACATGATGGAAAACTCAATATTTTTCTTTTTGGTACTGGGGATTGAAACTAGGGTCTTGCATATGCCAGGTAAGCAGTCTGCTAGAGAGCTACGTCATTTTTAAAGTTTTTTTTTTTTTTTTTTGTACTTGTAGATGGACAGCAGGCCTTTATCTTATTTTTATTTATATGGTGCTGAGGATTGAACCTAGCACCTCCCACATGCCAGGCAAGCACTCTGCCACTAAGCTACGTTCATTTTTAATTTTTTTTTTTTTTTTTTTGTACTTGTAGATGGACAGCAGGCCTTTATCTTATTTTTATGTGGTGCTGAGGATCAAACCCAGTGCCTCATACATGCAAGGCGAGGACTCTGCCACTCAGCAACAGCCCCAGCCTTATAGTATTTCCTTTGAGAGAGAAGTTTGCTATGTTGCCCAGGTCGGCGTTGAACTTTACTCTGGGCTCAAGTGAGCCTCCAGGAGCCTCAGTCTTCCAAGTCTTCTGTGCATGGTGACTGCACTTAAAACCTCTGAAATGTGCACTTCGAAAGATTAAGATGTCAAATCTTGTGTTATGTTTCTTTTGTATTCTAGGAAATTGGGAAAACATTTTTAAAGGGTTCAAAGGTGGAACCCTTGAGTTTGGTGCATGTTTCTTCTAAGACCTGTTCTTGCTGGTGCCTCAAGTCCTCAAGAGATGGCAGCAATGTGGGGGACCAGCCTGTGTCGGCAGCTTTTGGTCTAGTCTCAGCAGTTAAGGTCAAGGCTTGCCTTCTGCTTCCGCTTTTCTGGAAGCTATGTTCTCACTGATCAGATGAAGGAAATGGGGCCCAGACAAGCAAGGTGCCCCCGGAGCAGAGCTGGGGTGACACCACTGTCCTCATCCCTAGCCTTCCTGCCCCACACATCACCAGCAGTTGGTTCCCAAGGGGCCAGTCAGGTGGGACATTTCCTTGGTGACTTGACCTCTACATCACGAGGCGGTCCTCTGGAATTCTTTGGAAATATCACTTTGTTCTGATGGGATAAGGGATCCGCAGGATGCATTGGCGGTACAGAAACATCAACGCAGGAAACTGAATTAAGTTTCATTTATTCTAGGGCAAACTCAAAAGGGTTTTTTTTTGTTTTCTTTTTTAGCAAATCCTAGCACATTATTAACAAAAAAAATCTGTACATTTGCCATGATACACTTGAAAGTGAAACAAATAAGATATAAATACAGATATGGATGTAACATGAAAAAGCCCAAAAAAACCCAAACAAAACAAAACACCCAACCAGGGTGTGGGGGGACCATGCGCGTGAACACAGTGCCAAAACTATTTTGGTGGCTGATATTTTTCAGAGCATTTCTTTTCTCATTTCCAAACATTGTTAGCAGAGTCTTGGGGTTCTACAAAGTCCTTATTTGCTGTCTTTTAAAGTGTAATATTATGCTTGATAAGTAAGGGTGGCAGGGAAAGAAAAGGGTTGATGAGACAAAATCATCTGCATTACCTGGGGGGCTAGGAAGCTAGTGTGAGCCACAGAAGAGGCTGCAGGCGGCCCCCTGTGGCACCGGGTCCAGAAGCACACGCAGTGCAATTGAAGAAAGCCGCGTGCCTCAGGGACCTGCCGCACCTGCAGGACTGTGGTCTGAGGAGGGTGGCAGCAGCTTTCAGGGAAGCAGAGTCAGATGAACCAGCCCCTAGCCTGGGGCAAGAGAGCGTCTGAGGAGGCCCTGGACAGTCAGGCAGATGGGAGGCAACAGTTTTTGCTCTGCTCTGGGGTGTCCCATGGTTTCATCTGAATAGGAGCCCTGCAGAGGGTGGCGGCAAGGCAAGGCAGCTGCGCTGTCAGGGTTTGGAGGGCAGCCGGCGTGGACACAGCCACCCTGGTGAGGTGGTGGCGGCATGCGAGTCTCCTCGGCGTGGCACGGTGGGCAGCGATTTTCAGATTGAGGCCAAATGACCTGTGAAGTGATTGTTCTCTGTCTCTAGTCAGGAGATTGAAGAGGGCGCAAGTGACATTCAAGGCTAGCCCTTTGTAAGTACGGGGAGGACATCAGGCAATGTTCGAGAGCCTTCCAACTACACTGGGGGTGTGGTGACCTTTTGGAAGCCAAAGAGCTCCAAAAGAAGGGTCTGACTGATTAGGTGTAGGAGAACCCACAAAGAAGACCTCACCAGGACGGGTTTCCACACAGAGGGGCGACCAACTGATGCTGGGACTCAGGAGAGTATAAAAACGAAATCCCATTAATGAACTATTAACAAACAAGCAAACACACGAACAGTATTTATCATTGAAAGTAAGGCCTGGTCCTGCTGTTTTGAGCCAAAGTCAGTCAATAATAGTCAACCACTTAGATGCACCCCTCAAGTTCCCTAAGCAGCAGCAGTGGGGTACCTGACACCTGATAAGATATCCCCTACACATACACACCTGGAGATCAGGGGGTCTTCATACTCAGTGACTGTTTCCAAATATATTACCTATCATTCACAACTTCCCCCGTCAAATCTAGAGGGCCAGAGAAGGGGGTGGTGGGAATGGGGGATGAGAAGCACAAACTCCGGTGCCTCAGCCTTGGTTTCAGTCCTCACAGCTGCAGAGGACTCTGCACTAGGACAGCCAAGACCTCACTAAAATTAATGTCCAAGGAAGCACTTTCCTTATGGAGGATCTAACAGTAAGTGATGGCAGATGATTTCATGATTGCATTAGACTGCCATCTGGCTTAAGAACTTTACTCAAGACTCATTTATTTGTAGCAACTGCACCCTAAAGAGCTTAAAAAGGGAGCCGGTGGTTTCCCTGGGAAGGAAACAGACTCTAAAGGTGTGTTTCAAATCCTGTAGTTCTGCCATCTGCCGCTCACCTTAAACAGTGACTAACAATCAAGAAAGTACTTCAACTTATAAAATTAAAAATGATTTGGATAAACATGATTTTTCTACACTTTTTTTTTTGCTGTTAATCTCAAATTACATAGAGAAGCCAAAACTGGGCTGGTAAAGTAGGCGTTTGCTAGATTAGCTGAGAACATTTTAGAACTGAACAGCTTAGGCAAAGCTGATGGGGAGGGAAGGGAGATGGCACCAGATTTGAATCACTGACCTGGGGAGTCCTGGGAGAATCCCTATCTCAACAGCCATTCCCCAAGACCTTAGCAGGGAGAGAGACAGACTTATACCTTCTGTGCATCACACGATGCAATCCATCTCTGATGGATGCGGTCAATTATAAGTATGGTTGGACTTATACTTCAAGAATTCTTCTGGCATGGCAGCTCTGGGGCAGGGACATCTGACGAGTTGTTCAGAGGGGCCTTCCTGACTCTGTGCTCAAAGCCAGGACAGCCGGCTCCATTTTGCGTGAGCTAAGTGACAGACCAGCTTCCAGCTCTTCTCCTTTTCCTGCTAAGGCTTGAGTTCCACTTTTAGGAGGTCTCAAAACCAACCTAAAGACATGCACCCTTTCTTGGTATCAGATGGGAAAAGGGTAGGGGGCTTCGCCTCACACAGGCCATTTCATAAGAATGTAAGCTGAGAATAAGGAACACTCCCACATCCATTATTAACTGAAAAAAAAAAAAAAGAAAAGCTACTGTCTACCAAGCATTGGCTAGAGAGCTCTGATTGTTAAAAACTGCACCCCACATACATGATTTTGTGATTGCAACAGGCGGTACAAGACGTGTGTAAGTATGGCTCTTGTTGTTCTCATTCCTTTCGTCTCTACGAAGACTGCGATACAGGCCTTGCTTCCGTTACATTCAATACCAGTAAGATTCTACACAAAAGCTGGAAGGGACCAAAATACTGATTGTAATAAATATGTGCGGGCCTCCTCGTACTGACTGGGCAGCCGATGGGGGGTCTGAGGCACCACCGATGGCGTCTGACTCTGCACAGAGACTGGCACTGCCACTAGCTGTGCGTGGAGACGTCGGAGGAGGAGCTGCTGTTGCTGTTGGTGGTCTGTGCCCTCTTTATGTATAAGTTTAGTAGCTTCATCTGCAGAGAGAAGAGACACTGAGTTAGGAGGAAAAGAAGGAGAGAGGGAAAAAAAAGAAAATGAACCACCCCGATGACCACCAGACAACAGCCTGCCCCTATTCCCCTACGGGGAACCCGTCACACAGACGTCCAACTCAGTGTTCCACTCATCACGTGCACCTGCAGGTGCTGGCCACAGCTGGGGAGGCGCTCAGGATCTCGAGGAGCAGGGAAAAGTAGTGGGCTATCACAAAAGAAGGAAGGTGTCACAACAGGCCACTGGGGCTTGGAGACCAAGTTCTCCAAGGGGCAGGCTACATGTCACTGCATGTAGCTGCAGCCCAGTGGCTCCTCAGCACTCAGATGGACAAGAGTGAGAACAGGAACAAGGACAAGGCTCAACTAGAGGTCAAGTCTGTGACTCTCACACTGTGTTCAAGTTCTCCCTTTCTCTAGCACCCCTCCTGCCTAGGAAACCTGCTGCCACCTGAGGCACCGGAGTCCTATCTCAAAGGCCACTCCACAAAACCTTGTTCTGATTAGAGTCTGGATGGGTTCATCTTCCTTCAAACTCTGTGGCTCTAGCTCCTCATTTGAACTCACTGTAGATGGGCTCACATACAGTTTGTGTGTGTATGTAAATGAGTGTGTGTGTGTGTGTGTGTGTGTGTGTGTGTGTGAGAGAGAGAGAGAGGGGGGGGGAGGCTTACTTGTGCCCTCACACAAGATTAGATCTCTGAGGTCCTATACAGCATCACAAGGTAACTCAGATGGACAGAATACTTAGCAATGCAAGGCCTTGAATATCTGTAATCTCATTTGCTTTCAACTGAAGTCCCTTTAGGTTCTTAAAACACATAAAACTTCAGATGACATTGTAGGTACTTAAGAAATGCTTGCTGAATGCTACTAAATTAATCTATTGTGCACAGAAGCAGCATCAAAGGAATTATGAAAAACTTTGAGTCCACAGCCCTGTATCTGTCTCACTCTAAGCAGGCTATGGGGCCGAGACCAGCATAAACCTGCACAGGGCAAGGACCTGATCTCCAGGATGACCTTGAAGCCAGGCTCATGGGAATGCGCAGGTGCGTGAGCAATGTTATGGAGCACCGAGCCCTGGAGGCCCTGCGCCCACCCCTAAAGGGGCCATCTGCTGGGGTGCATCCTCCTACACCCTGACTTAGATCCCTGGACATGTTATCTACATGGAGATGGGACACAGGGTATGCTGTGCCAGGCAAATGGAGGGAGTATGTGCTAAGTGTTACTCATTGGTCCACTCTGGGGTCTCCCCGTGGCAGGCTGTGCGCTGTCTTCCTCTTAACCATATTAAGAGCTAACTTTATGCTAGCTTACACTACACACCATGGTTGGTTTTTGGTCCCTTCTTTTTTATTTTTATTTTTTGTAGTTGTAGATACATAGCCTGCCTTTATTTTGTTTGTTTACTTTTATGTGGTGCTAAGGATCGAACCCAGCAACTCACACATACATGCTAGGCAAGCACTCTGCCACTGAGCCCCAGCCCCAGCCCCCTGACTTTAATTTAATTTTGTTCTTCTGAGGTGCTAGGGATGAAACCCAAGGTATTGCACAAACCAACATGTCCTGAGCTACACCCCTAGCCTTTCCCTGCCTTTTACACTCTTGAACTTCACTACAGTGGGTGGTGCTATGACGACAAGTGTCACCACTCACAGGGACTTTAATGCTTAAGGCTGTGATCTGTGAGGAGACTGTTCCCCCCATGCCTTCCTATTCCTACTGGAGCTGCTCACATGGTCCCTCCTCCTCCCCCTTTACACACGGGGCCCCATCCTGCAAGCCTAGCTCAGTTCCACTTCCCTCCTGCTCCAGTGGCCTGTCACCCCGCCCTCGGGGCCTGTCCCATTGTGTCTTCTAGTGGCGGCTCATTCCTGGGCTGCTGTTCAGGTTTCCCTGTGTGTCAAGTGTGTCCCCCAGCTGCATCTTCTGTCCTTCCGAGGCAGGGCAAAGCCTCTGCTCTTCCCGCACCTTGGCTCAGTGTGGGGAGAACAGTCCCCAGTACACACTTGTTGGAGTAAAGAGTTAAAGGAAAAAAAATAAGATCTGGAAGACAAGATAGTTATAGTTCTATGAAATCTGATTATAAATGAATTTAAACACTCTTATCCATATTTTCAACTCAAAAATCACTATTGTCTCCCTAGAGTCAGATCTAGAATGCAATTATGAGGAAAGAGCATTAGTAAGAGTTCGTAACGTGCATGTGTTCGATGGTTTACGGGGAGCTTTTACAGTGATTGTCGTATTGAGCCTTACAGAAATCCTCGAACACGGGCAGAACAGATTCTCTTCTCTTACAAAAGAAAAGGCCAAGGTTCAGGAGGCTTGCTGGATAAGCTGGTTTAGAGTCGACTCTAACTTTAGGATGTTAAATGTAATTGCCACGGCAACAAAGGAAACAGCTATAGAATATACACAAAAGGAAATGAGAAGGGATTCAAAATATTTCACTACAAAAATTTAAAAAACCCAAAGATGACAGTAATGTGGAAAATGAGGAACAAAGAGCTCACAGTAAAATGCCAGAAGTGCCTCCTGATCAGTAATAACTCTAAACGTCAGCAGATTAAACCCTCCCATCAAGACACAGATTGGCAAAATGGATGAAAAAAATCTGATTCAACTATATGCTGCCAATAAGAGACTCCGTTTAGATCCAAAGATAAATGGGTTGAAAGTGGAAAATACGTTTATGCAAATAGTAACCAGAGACAGCAAGAATCAGAAAAAAACAGATCTTAAATCAAAAGAAGTTGTAAGAGAAAAAGGAGGATAATAGATGGTTGAGGGAGAGTGGGCGGGCCGGGGTGAGGTGAGGCCCTCCAGGAGGAGAGGCAGGCATGCGGGCCATGCCTGGGCACCCAACCCAGGACGTGGCCATCTCCTGGTGCCTCTGCAGTTCCTTCGAGGTCAGCTGCCCCCAGCAGTGGGTGAGGCACTGTGGTGAAAATCACAGCATCCTGGCAGCTGGACTGGGGTGTGAGGAATTCGTGCAGACACATTAGGGAGCTACTGTGGGGTGGCGACCCAATATAAAATATTTTGATAAAAGATACTACTTAAAATTCTAGGACAAATCTGAAGCAGGACAGTTCCAGCTTTCCGAATCAACTACAAATTCCTAGGCATTTACTGAAATTTTCACAAATGTTACAAATATTCTTTGTGGATATTAAAAAATGCTCTGTTGATTCTGTGACAGTGTTAGTTTGACATGGCGTACACATAAGTCTTTGTTCCCTGTGTACTTCACAATGAAATCAGACAAGTAACAGAGGATCCCTGTTTCAACCAGGAAGACTTGAAGTACGGTGGTTTAAATAGGACTAGTTCTAATTTGGTAAGAAATTTATTTTAAGAAACAATTAAAACCAGCTATAAACCACACACACACACACACACACACACACACACACGGGATGAATGCAGCCAGGCACAGTGGTGCACACCTGTAACCCCAGTAACTTGGGAGGCTGAGGTGGAAGGATCACAAGTTTGAGACCAGACTCAGCAATTTAGTGGCCCTGAGGACTTAGTGAGACCCTGTTTAAAAAAAAAAAAAAAAAAAAAAAAACATAAAAAAAGAGCTGAGGATGTGGCTCAGAGTTAAGTGACCCTGGGTTCAATCTCCAGATAGACAACAACGACAAAAAAGTTTAGTGCAGCATGAAGATAAAATAATCTTAAGCATTTACTATATAATAAGAGATTATCTAAATATATGAAGCAAAAATGGATACAACAGACAGTTCTACAGTAACAGTTGGGGACTTTGATATTTCACACTCTCAAAATTGGTTAGAATGATGAGACAAAAGACAAGGAAATACAGGACTTGAACAACACAATAAACCAGATCTAACAGACCGAGCCCAAACTCTCCACCCAACAATGGCACACACATTCTCCTCAAGTGCATGTTTCCCAGTGTAGACCAAGCGTTGGGCCACAAATTCTCAGCAGATTCTAAGAGATATCATAAAAAATATCTTCTCTAACCATAGTAAGATGAAGTCAGAAATAACAGAAGGAAAACTGAAGAACTTATAAATTTGTAGAAATCACTTTTAAAAGTCAGTGAGTCAGCTGAGTGTGGCAGGGCACACCTGCCACTCGGGAGCTGAGCTGGGGGATTGAAAATTAACTGCCAGGGCAACTTAGCAAGAGCCTGTCTCAAAATTAAAAAGGGCTGGGGATGAAGCTCAGTGGTGGAGAGTCCCCTTTAAGGCAAAACAAAAAACCAAAAAAGCCCCACAAGGTTCATTCAAAAATATTTTGAGAGAAATGAAAATGAAAGAACACCCAGCATTCCAAGTTTCCGTCTAGGGGAGGGTAGAGCTGTAAGTGCTGAACAAGCTTCAAATCAACAAGAGCTACATTGGATCCAGGAGAGGAAGATAATACAGGCAGAGCAGAGACGAAAGAGAACCAAAAAATAATAGGAAAAAAATAGATGAAACTAGAAGTTGGTTTTTTGAAAAGATCAACAAAGTTGATGGATTTTTAACTAGGTGGACTAAGGAAAAAAAAAAGATGCAGATTATAAAAATCAGAAGTGAATGTGGGTACGTTATGACTAATAATGGGAATAAGAAGGGTTATAGGAATATTATTAATTATACACCCCAAACTGGATAATCTAGATGAAATGGATGAATTTCTACAAACAACAAAAACAGAATCACAAAGAAACTCTGAACAGACCTGTAACTAGTAAGAAGTAGTCAAAAAAATCTCCAAAAAGTAAAAGCCTGAACCAGATGACTTCACTGGTGAATTCTTCCAAACATTTAGAAAAATAATACCAATCTTCCTCAAATTTTTCCAAAACACAGTAGGGGGAAAATGCTTCTAAACTCATACTACAATGTCAGCACTGCCCTAATAACAAAACTATAGATGATATCTCTAATGAACACTGATGAAAAATTCTCAACAAAGACTAGCAAATAGAATTCAGCAGCAAATTTAAAATATTATATACAGAGACCAAATGAGATATATTGATTTATTCCTGGAATGCAAAAATGGTTCAACTTATAAAAAATCATTGTAATATACGATGTTAACAGAATAAAGAAAAAGATGTGACTATTTTTTAAAAAAATATTTTTTTTAGTTGTAATTGGACACAATATCTTTATTTTATTTATTTTTATGTGGTGCTGAGGATCAAACCCAGGGCCTTGCACATGCTAGGTGAGTACTCTACCACTGAGCCACAATCCCAGCCCCAAGATGTGACTATTTTAACTGGTGCAGAAAAACATCTGAAAAATATAATACCTTCTATGATAAAAACACTCAAACTAGGAATAGAAAAAACTTATCTTGACATATTAAGTCATATATAAAAAACTCACAGCAAAAATTATACTCAATTGTGAAAGACTGAAAACTTATTCTAAGATCAGGAACAATGTAGGGACTCTTGTTCTTACCACTCCAACACAGTACTAGATGTTGTAGCCACAGCAATTAGAAAATAAAATAACAAAGTAAAGGCATCTAAGTGAGAAATTAAGTAAATCTTCTTTGTAGATGATATTACTTTTATGTAGAAAACCCTAATGATCACACACACATAATCTGTCAGAACTGTTAGAAATTAATTCAGCCGAGACGGTACAAAAATCACCAAGCAAAATAATATGCAAGTTGGGGTGATGGCTCAGTGGTTGAGCAGTTGCCTAGCATGTGTGAGGCCCTGGGTTCCATCCTAGCACCATAAGAATAAATAAATAAAAATTCCCCTCCACTAACAATGAACAACCCAAAAAGAAAATTAAGAAAATGTTATGTATAATAGCATAAAAAAACCTGAAATATTTAGGAAATTATTTAACCAAGGAGGTAAAAGACTCACACAATTAAAACTACAGTATGCTTCTGGGATAGTGGTACACGCCTGTGATCTCAGCTAATGTGAAGCTTGAGGCACAAGGACCACAAGTTGAGGCTAGCCTGGGAAACTTAGTGAGACCCTGTCTCAAAATAAAAATAAATAAAGGCTGGGTATATATCTTGGTGAGAAAGTACATTCCCAGAATGTGTGAGGCCTTGGGTTCAATATCCGGTACCACAAAAACCAAACCAAACCAACAAAAACCTACAAAATGGTGCTGAAAGAAATGAAAGATCATGCAAAGAAGTGGAAAAATATCCCAGGTTCATTGGACTAGAAGACATTTGATGTCAATATTACTCAATAAGATTGATTATGTGAATGATATATAGATTTAATGCAATATATCAAAATTCCAAAGAGATTTTTTTGCTGAGTTAGAAAAACCAATCCTAAGATTCATATAGAATGTCAAGAAATCCCAAATAGTCAAAAGACCTTGAAAAGAACCAATCTAGAGGACCCATACCTCTGGAATCAACTTAGTACAAAGTTATAGTGAACAAATCAGGGTGGAACTGGCATAGAGACATACAACAAGGAGACAGAATACAGAGCCCACAAGTGAACCTTCGCAGACGGTCGAACAATTTTTGACAAAGTGACAGGACTATTCAACGAGGAGAGGATAATATTTTTAACAAATGATGCTGGGAAAAGAGGTATCTGCATGTCAAAAGAATGAATGAAGTTCAACTCTTCCCTAATACCAATATACAAACATTAACCCCAAGTGGATGGACCATTCAAAATGGAATAACCTGAGTGTCAGAGCTTCCTGAGTCTAAAACACTCTTAAAGGAGTGTAAGTGGCAGGTCCTGGAGTCCAACCTCTGTGTGCCCTTGGGCAGGCCAGAGAGGACAACCATCCTTATCTCACAGGGATGTCATGAGGAACACAAGTGAAAGCATGCCAAGAGTGTGGACCAGCTCCTGGGGCAATGGTGGGTACCAGGCAACGGCCACTACTACTGTCAATGCCCACAAAGGACTCGGCTCTGATTCAGCAATTTGTTAAGCACTTATGTTAATTTCCTTGGTGTTCCTGTGAGAAACCAAGCTGGTTTCTGAATAAAGTTGTCTTTCTCCAGGGAGTAAAATAAAAGTTAATTTATTTTGCAAAAGCAGGAGTTAAAATAGATGATGATGTATCATGTTAGCATTCTCTTAAAACTTCATTACATGGCTGGCCATTTTCATCTTAAAACATGCTTTTTGAGAAATAAGGCCCAGCTGAAACACACCTGATGAGAAGAAGCAGTCTGGAGCCCAGAGCCACCACAGAGCAGGCTCACGTCAAGCTGGCAGGGCCCAGGTGTGGATGTCAGCTAGGTAACACTGTACATACCTTGCTCCCCGTGAGCTGTGCGAGGTGAGGTTTCAGGTCTTCTCCGATTACGGAATAAATTGCCACTAAGCAAAACACGCTGGCCTTCCGCACGCTGCTTTCCGTGTTGTCATAACCCTAGAAGCCAAGGGGGACACAAAAAGGAAATCAGATCAAAGGCTTGCTTCATAGTTAATGCCTCAGCAACTTCTACCAACACCCTCATATTTCAACCCTGGACGTGTCAGTCACCATCAGGACCTACCTAAGACCTGCAACTGAATCCCGAGGGTTTTCACCTGAAAGGAGTCAAAATTGACTTATATTAAGAGTGACCTGGTGGGTGGGGTGCAGAGGCAAGAAGGGGTAAGTGCGATCTGTGAGCCACTACTAAAAAGATGCCACGACAGAGATGAATTGAGAAAGCAAAATTAAGGGAAAAAATACTGGTTTCATTCACACTTCTTACAATGTTAAAGCAAATTCATGTGTGAAAACACTGTTAAAGAAACGAGAGGGCTGGGGCTGTGGCTCAGTGGTGGAGCGCTTGCCTCACATTCGTGAGGCACTGGGTTCCATGCTCAGCACCACATAAAAATAAATAAAATAAAGGCCTGCTGTCCATCTACAACTGCGAAAGAAAGAAAGAAAGAAAAGAAAGAAAGAAGGCCTGCTGTCCATCTACAACTGCGAAAGAAAGAAAGAAAGGAAGGAAGGAAAGAGACAGAAAGAAAGAAGGCCTGCTGTCCATCTACAACTGCAAAAGAAAGAAAGAAAGGAATGAATGAATGAATGAATAAATGAGAACTACATCATTCACCATCATAGGTGAAAGCCATCTGTCCTCCAGTGATTGCTAGAGCTGCCCATGCCCCTGTGTGACATATGCTCAGTCTCCCTGTCTGACTTATCCCTGCACCAAACCCAAATGGGCCTATCTGCCGGTCTCCAAAGAACCCTGGTGACTTTTCCACTTTCATGCCTTTCCCTCTGGAATGATCCAGTCCCCAACTAAGTATCCAAATTCCCACCAAACGCTCAGCCAAAAGCAAATTTTTTAAATGGGAGGCTAGCTACTTAATAAATTCCTTTCTACCTTTACCCACAGAAATCCTCTCTCCCATCCCCACAAAATGGAAACCACCCCTCCACTGTGATGCAGTACATGACACTGTCACCTGTAGTAGCCATGTGGCTGCATCATGTCACATGACAGGCTGAAAGTCCCTGAGGTGGGGCCACACGTCTCCTGCCTGTCAGAGGATGCCTAGTTCACTGCCTGCCACCTAGAAGAAGTAAGTGTTTATTGGGCATATGAAAGCAAGCACCCTGTCTGAGTCACACTCCTTGCCTAGGGCTGGGGCCACAGGAGGTTTGCAACAAGGATCTGATGAAGGAATGAACAAAAACAAATGATCAAAATATGTTTATCATAAACAGAAAGTCCATTCTGTGAGCCACAGTTCTGGGCTGCCAGGTGCCTACCTTCCTGCTGTACCAGAAGCGGGCAGACTAAAAGACACAGGTCCTAAAGAGAGGGTTTCCGCCTGCGGTTTTCCTACCTGCAGGCCAGTGAAGGAGGGCAGCAAAGACCATGTGACCTGGGAGCAGCTCACCTGCAGCAGGCCCGGGATGATGTCGGCGAGGAGCTGCAGCAAGGACTCCTTGGCGATTCTCTCCACGACTTTGGTCTGCATCTTGATGGCGGCCAGGTTGATGGGGTAGTCGGCTGTCTGGATGATGGGGCAGAGCACTTTGATGCACTGCTCTGGGTGGATGGAACTGGCCAGTGTGGAGGCAGCCTCCTCAGCAGCTCGCACCACCTGAAACACCAGGTCCCCAGGGTGAGCCTCATGTGCTCAAGAGGAGAAAGAACCCCACCGCTGTTTTAGTTCCGAGGCCAATGACAAGGGTCTCACTGAATGCCAGAGGGTGGTCTCAGTTTCTCTAACACTGTCAAGGTGAAGCAGAGTGGTATGGAGGGCAATTTTTTCAAGAGGGGCGTTTTGCTAAAAACTTCAGAACAGTGGTTTTCTAAGAACGTCCTCCATCTCCAGCAGTAGCAGCATCCCTGGACCCCCACTGGAGGTGGGTCCCGCGAGCTGTTACTAAAGCCCTTCAAAGGTTCTTTTTAAGACAGGGTCTCACTATGTTGCCTTGAATCCCTGGGCTCAAGTAATTCTCCTGTCTCCACCTCCGGTGTAGCAGGGACTAGGGATGCACGCTGCCACGCCCAGCTTCCCTGGGTGATTTGTAAAACCAATGCTGCAGAATCTCTGCCCTAAATGATTAGAACTTAAAGATACAAATGCTCTCCCCGATGGCTAGTGGGACCCCACAGTGGAGTCACCAAAGAGAAGCCTGAAGGAAATGAGAGTGCCTTTCACCTGCTTCCTCCAAGGGGCTGAACCACAGGTAGCTTGGTGGGCTTGAGAGAAGCCTCTGGAAGTGTTCCTGGGAGGTTCCCAGGGAAAGCTGCTTTTCTAGGAATGATGCCCCCTCACCTTGTACTTTTAACAAAGAGCATGAAATGACCACCTCATGGTCAGAGGAGCAGCCTCTGACCTGTGGAGAGCCACAAGACACTTTGATAATAAAGGGAACCAAGTGCAAAACTCAGTAAAAGGAGGGGGAGCATGCAGAAGATGTGGTAGGAAGAAAGAAGCGGGTTTGTGCTTAGGGATCTGAGGATCTCACCAGTCCCAAGCGCAAATACTGCACTTCCTCATCTGTAAAATGGGGGTATCAAATGAACGATGAGTGCTATTCAAGATAGTGCAGACACTAAGTAACTGATACTTCCTTCTATTAATAGCATGGAGTGTTTAACGTATGCACATTATGGAAATGATGTATGAGTAAAGTCACCAGGCTAAAGGCATAGATGCATTTTCTTATGAAGTGCAATGAAAACCTAATACTTTTCTTTTAGAGCCTGCCTTGGACTGGGGATCCCAGTCCATTCTCTGCATTGTATTCTGCTGCTCAAAATAACTCAGGTCCATCTTTATATAGCGGCAAAAGAGAGCTACCAACCAGCCCAGTGCTTCAGGCACAGGTGACCCCTGAAAACAGACGGACCACCTGGAAAGCTGGCTCTACTTGTGGGCAGAGCAAAGAAACAGTGCACAGAGCACGGGGGTGACCCAAGCCGAAGGGCAGATAGGCCAGATCTGGATCACGGGCTATACATGCTGTTTTAGTCACTCTGAGGTCCTGACTGAGGTGTTGCCTGTCACCTGAGGGTCCTCTCTCCAGCAGGATCGATTTGGGACTCCCCAGCTATGGCCCAGCCCTGCGCCCATCCCAAGGGGGCACTGCTCTGAGAACAGGGCTCAGTTCAGGAGTGTGCCTCATTAGAAGTTGAAATACTCAAGCTGCATGTGTGGGGGGGCCACACTTGTAATCCCAGTGAATTGGGAAGCTGAGGCAGGAGGATAGCAAGTTTGAACCAGCATGGGCAATGCAGGGAGACCCTGCCTCAAAGTAAGAAATAAAAAAGACTGGGGTGTAGCTCAGTGGTAGGGAGCTCTTGGGTTCAATCCTCAGTACTGGACAAAACAAAACACCCCAAAATGACACATTTAGGACCAGCCAAGATGCTAAAGGTAGATTCTTCACTATGAAGCTCCATATGGGCTCTGGCCACTCATGCCCAGTAGCTGGCATTTATCATCCTAGAAACCTGGGGAATGTGTGAAAGGCTATACACACTACCTTATGGCGCAGAGGCTACATGGACCTTTATTTTCTCTATACATTTTAGAATGCCTTCTTAGCAAGAAAACTGCATTCATTCATAAAAATGTACCTGTGTCCCTTTCAGGACAGGAAAAGTGGCAGTCCTCCCAGCCCTGGTCCCACAGTGCCATGCTGGAGAAGCAGGCAGACTCTTGGGCGTTTGCCTGGACTGACTCCAAGCCCTGGCGTGGCTGAGGCAGTACTATCACTATTGTAATCACTCTAACTATCACTACCATCCCAGCCTACGTCCAACGACCCGACTCCCCTCTGATGAGCTTGAACTCTTGCTGTCCCTCAGATGTGGCGGACACATGCACCCCTGCCCCTCTGAGGGTGTCCTTGACCATCTGACTGACAACACTTTCCCCTCCCGTTTTCCCCAGTCCTTCAGCCTGTGATCCTCACATGGCACTAGGGGCGCTCTACTTTACATTCTTGGTGACATTTCCATAAATGTTTCTTTTTACCAAATAGGCAGCATCTAGGATCTTCCACCTGTACCTCAGTGCACAGCGAGATGGATGTTGTACATGTGATCAGCTGAGCTCCATTCCCCTGCCTGTCTGCTCTGTGCACTGCTTCTTTGCTCTGCCCACAAGTAGAGCCAGCTTTTCAGTACATGTGATCAGCTGAGCTTCATTCCCCTGCCTGTCTGAGGACATGTCCCTTTTCAAAGAAGCCCTACCTCCCTGAATTCTGATCTTCATGTTTCTTTCTTGTCAATGGCCTTTTGAACTTTTCTAGAAAGACTACATCCTTGCTGCACTTTCTATAGGTAAGAATCTTATGAGATGAGGTCATATCCTCACCCCTGGCCAATATCAGGCACACAGTGCACACACATGTAGGAGCCCACACTGGGATTGCGAATCAATCCCTTCAGGAGTTAAAGTGGAGTCCTGGACCAGCGTGGTTTCACAGTAAATACCACACATGCACATCTAAAAAGAAAGCCCAAGCCTGACACATGTCTGTAATCAGACAGATTCAGGAAGCTCAGGCAGGGAGACCACAAGTTTGAGGCTAGCTTAGGTCACTTAGTAAGACCCTCTCTCGAAAATAAAACTAAACCAAACAAATAAAAAATAAGAAGGGTTGATGACACAATGGTAAAGCGCTTACCTTGTATGGAACAAAATAAAGGAGGATACTAGCCAGGTAAGGTAGCACACACCTGTAATCTTAGCTACTTGGGAGGCTGAGGCAAGTGGATCCAAGTTCAAGGGCAGCCTGGTCAATTAGTGAGGCCCTATTTCAAAATAAAATTTAAAAAGAGCAGTGGGTACAGCTCAGGGGTAGAGCACTTGCCTAGCATGTATGAAGCCCTGGGTTCGATTCCTAGTGCCCCACCTGTCTTCTAATTGTAGCTTTTCCCACATAGATGTTCCAAAGCCAAGTGCTTTTTGGCCCTGTCCATGTGCATGACCTTTCATTTGAGGAAGGCCTCCCCTTGGAACAGGAGGAGCACACATTCAGCCCCTGCAGCGCAGCACACAGGCCTCCATCTAGGGCTTTGGTAAGTGCTTGCTTGGTCTGAGCTTCAAATGTAAGCTCTGAGAGGGGGATTAAAACAACTCACTCTCAGTTATCTGCTGAGGAGAGAGAAGGGCATAACTCCCTTTGTACATTCTAGCTACAGCACATACAGGGCTGGTAGGAGACCGCCACTAGCAGTGGAGTGTGGCAGCAGAGGTGCCACCCCAAGGCCAAGCACCACTCTGGGAGCTGTGGGGTATCGGAGAGCAGAGCTCCCTCCCTATGAGACTCCTCTAGAGGAGGAGTGAGGTACCTACTGAGAAGCTCCATCCTCTGATGAAATATTCACCTTCAACATTCAACCTGAGGCCTCGGTCCTTTCCTGCCACACCCTGCCCAGCCCAGTCTCGCTCACATCCTTCTCCTGGCTGCCCACGACTTCATTCAGAACTCATTTCTACAGAAGCTCGGGAAGTCCCATGTGCATATATTACGGTTGTAAACATCTTGCTGAAAACGCCTCTTTCACTGGATGAAAAGTTCCCTAAAGGCAAGGTCCCATCTTGGCCATCTCTAACCGAATTACCCCTCTTCAGTTGATGCAGGCCCCCAAGGCCGTTCTATGTCCACAGCACACCCGGGAGAGCCACATAGAGTGAAGCAGATGGTGAGTCACAAGAAGGACTGGCAGACAGCCCTTCTCCTCCCTACTGTGGGTCCACAAAAAGACAAGAGCTCTGAAGATACTGGTTTCCACTGTAACAAATCATCATTTATTGCAGTGTACTGGGCAGAAAGCTGAGGAACTTTTGGGCCTTTGTGTTTAAACTTGGTGGGGGGTGGGGAGGAAAGGGTCAGAAAGACACTGGATGATTTGGTTAGGAAACCTAAGTGAGAAAATATCGATGCACAGGAACTGAGTCTAAGGTCCCCCTAAGGAGGTGGGAACCAGCTCAATGACCAAAAAAAATGTGGAGACAGAGGGTGATTTAAGTCCCTAAGCCACTTTAGCCTTGACAGAAGCAAGCTAACAGCCTCCTGGTTATCCTTCAGGGATGCAATGAGGACTAACGAGACTGGGCAACAAATGGCCAAGTTCACAGGGAGAACTCAGCCATGAAGTTCCCCTTCTCTCCCTCCCTCCACCTCCCATGCTCTACTGCTGTTCAGGTTGCAGTGATTTACTGTCTAGTGAGTGCTGAAAGACAGACTGCTTCAGAACTGCTGAGGTGAAACCCAAACTCAGGAGAACTTTCTCATGAAACTGCAGGGATTCAGCAGTGCCAGTGGCACAAGCCTGAAAACGCAGGGACTTGGGAGACTGAGACAGGAGGATCGGAAGTTCAAGGCCAGTCTCAGCAACTTAGCAAGAGTATGACTCAAGTAATAAAAACGGGCTAGTCAGTTTGTAGAGCTTGCCTACCATGCACAAGGCCCTGGGTTCAATCCCCAGCACCACCACGACGACCACCACCATCACCACAATAAATAAATAAATGCGGGCTGGGGATGGCTCTCAGTGATAAAATGCCTCTGGGTTCCATCCCTGCAGTACTGCAAAACAAACAAAACAAAATAAAGCCCCCACTAGGAACTGTACAGG